TTATTTCAGTTGGTTTACATAGGGAATCTTGTGCATGCACAGTATACAGCAATGACCTTATTAACATTCATTACAATCCCTCTGCACATGCATAATGGACATCAATGACTTCATTAATCCATTTAAACATCTTATGACCATCCACCCTGTAAGTAGCTCCTCCCTAGTAATCTGATAATATACCCAACATATACCTTTAAGCATAACCCTTTCAACATAATCTGGTTTCTTACTTTCTTTGTTCTTATTTGATGAAGCCTGAAATTATGGAGGAAAAGAGACGATTTGAATGTCTGTTCTACTGACCATGCCATTTGGAGGCAGTTACTTCAAATCTTTAAGCAGAGCATAGAGAAACTTCTTGGGCATACAGGAATTTGTGTGCAAACCTCTGCTCCCATGTAGGCCTTAAGTCAGCAGGGGTTTGCTGGAGACTTTTATTAGGAATTCTCAGGCTGGACTTCTCAAAAGCCTTTCATGAGCCCAGGTTTCATCTGTGCCATTAGATACCTGTATGCATTGGGTAAATTCCTCTTCTCTTGAGGTCCCCTAGCACATTTCCATTCCCGGACCCATCAGCAAGTGACCTTCATCACTTACCACAGATCAGGAAGGGTTACTGATGGGTATCTGGCCAGTTTTCCAAAGGGCTTGTTCATTGGCCTTATAAAGTCAACCTTAATTCCTTAACACAGTCTGGAAATGCTATTCCAGCCAAAGCCTTGGTCATGTTAGGCCCACAACTAACCCGGCCATATGGGATTTTGCCTCAGTTTCTCACAAATGTGCCTACACAAAGTCTTTTCACTGCTCTCCCTCAAACTGCTTTTTTGGCCAGAGGCATATAGGCATTTTGCCTATACACTGTGCCCTGGGTAGAGTGCTGTGTGTCATAGCTCACAGCAACCTCAAACTCATTAGCTCAAGAAATCCCCTTGGCTCAGGTTTCTGAGCTGGGACTACAGGCATCAGCTCGTAGTCCTTGGCTAGTTTTTCTATTTTTAGAGACGGGGGTCTCACTTTAGAGACAGGGGCCTCAAGCTGGTCTTGAACTCCTGAGCTCAAGCAATCCACCTGCCTCAGCCTCGCAGAGTGCTAGGATTATAGGCATGAGCCACCACCCTTGGTGGCTCTTCGGTTTGTAGGTAATCAACTTGCTTGCCCTGCCTGGCAGGCCAGCATACCCCTTCTTCTCACCTGTAAACTCTGATTGGTTGGTGGATAGATCCATTTATTCTCTCTGGATTAAATGTAGACAAATCCTGTCAACTGAGAAGCCTCTTTAGCAAACAATCAGGCTCTCCACTGGGTAACAATGCTCAGTATCACATAAGGCTACTCTGCCATCTCCTGCTTCTCCCAGGTGGCATGGAATAGTGGACAGGAGACCTGAGGGGCTGTCCAGGTTCTAGGAAGGAGCATGATGCCCCAGATTCCCCTGGCCTGGGGTGCTGATATTACCCTGTCATCATTCCCAGATGAAGCCCAAAGCTACGCTAATTCATAATCTGGTCTGCATTGGTTCTGCTTCAGCTCCCAGGTTTCCTGGGGTCCTCTGGGGCATGGCTATAAACCCCACATCCTCAGCACAAGTGCCCTGCCCAGAGAACTGCTTGGGGTACATTTCCTGGGAAGTTCTCAGCTACTTCTGTTGCAGGAAGACAAGGCCTGATGGAGAGAATGAACACCCAAACACTGTGTTTTAAAAAGGAAGAGCTTTCTTCCAGCTGGTGGAGTAACCACGGGGAAGAGTTCAAAATGGCCAAGCCAGTTTAATCCCCAGCCAAATAGTTCCAGCCCACAGGTACCTTTCTCAGTGGTCAGTTTGAATCAAGCTGGAGAAGCAGGTCCGGCTTTTACAGAACCACAGGCTTTCACAGAAGCAGAAGCAAGCAAGTTTTCAGGTCCCAGGAAGTTACATTTCTACAAATTCCTAAGAGCTGAGTCACGGTGGGGAGGACCTCGCAAGTGTATTCTTGGGGTCTCCTTGAGAAGACCTCTCTTCACTTACATCTTACTTTTTCTGGGTATCCCCTCTCACTTCTGGATCTTGTTTATGTCATTCAAATATCTAGGTCACCCCAAGAAAGCAAGAAAGATATCCCTCTATCTAACATGGCTGCACTTACTTAAACTTGCCCATGAGCCTAAGAAGCTTCCTTAAGTGTTCTAAATGGGAATCAGGACAGAAATAGCCCTTTCCTTGAGCTCCCTGGTATTTACCTAATACACGTGGTAATACTAGTCCATACTTAGATGAGGCTTAATATGAACTTTGCACCATTTAATTCTCGCAATAACCCTGGGAGGAAGATGTACCATTATTCACATTTAATAGGTAGGAACAGAGGCACAGAGAGTATGAGTGCCTTACCCAGCCCTGTGGCAGAGGGTGGAGCAGGGATGGGAACTGTGGTGGCTTGGCTGCTATCCCCCTCTGCTGAATCCCTCCCTTCCCCCTTTATTCCTTCTTCTGCTGCTACTCCCTGTCCCTAGGCCAGAAAAAGGCAAGTTTGCTTTTATTTTCTCCATGCCATCTGCTCTTGCTACTGTGAAGTTAGGTTACTTTGTGTAAAGGCTGGCTGGGTTTCAGTTCATTTTGAACCTTTTCTTCTGTGTTTCCAGAGAGAGATTGTGGGTCCATGCCAGCTTCCAGGCAAATGTTTCCACTGTCTACTTTAGAGGGATTCTGAGAACAGCCCAGACTGGTTGGTGGTGGCCATCCAACTCTCATATGGAGATTCAGAATGTGTCCCTGAGAGCCTCACTCAGATATCAGCTCCAGGCTGGCAGCTAATGGCAGCTAATGATATCCCTGAGGACATCCACAGCAGGACTGCTTCCTCTGACAGCAACAAAGAATTTGGCAGGGGCTGGTCTCCCACCCTCTCCTGCCTAGGCCTGTGCACCAGCAGCTGTCCAACAGGAGGCTGCTGGCTGTGTTGGCTCCACAGTGAAGCACACGAATTGCTAGCAGGACAAGAACTTGTCCTTGTACTTCACAGACAAAGAGGATCAGATCAAGCCTCCCTGACAATGTTTCCCACTGAGGCCCAAAGCACCCCTACTCCTCCAATGCCTGATAAAGGCTCGAGCAATATTCACCTGGAGAACCTGGTGTTTCTCTCAGGTGTCTGAACCCTTTATCAAACCTTTAAATACACAGGTGAAGTCTTGGTGTGGTGCAGTAATCCATGGCTGGGTTAGCAGTAGTTTTAAGTGCAAAGACTAGCTTTGTAAAGCATAATCTTATAAAACGTGAAGTGAAATCACCAGTAGCCAGGTCTCTCCATAAGGGACCATGTTTTAGACTATTTCATACATTTCATTCTTTGAGTCATTTAACAAATATTTCTTTTAGTAGAATCCCTTCTTCGTTTCCAGACAATATTACTTGTTATTTCTTCCAAATCCTGTTATTAATATCCAACCTGGTATTCCAGGGTTCTCACTATTTTCAGTATTTTCTCCATAAACCATACTTTTTATGATAAGGTTGTTCTTACTAACTAAAATAAATTTCTTTGCCTACAAGTGAAAAGACAGCCCAGGTGGCATCCATGCAGAGCAGAAGTTTTGATTAGCATTCTAACTAAAGTACATGGAAATGTAAACAATTTATTACTTGGTAAAAGGACTTTGGAAGATGGAAATTTGCTACTGGGGTTGACATGGGAGAAAGATCACTGGTGAGAGGACAGGGCCTCCCTGCTACACTGTCACCTGGCCCTGTCTTCTGTCTCTGCAGAGATAGGAGGGTAAAGACAACAGCTACTTAGGGTCACGTCCTTCACTCCATAGTTAGAATCCCAGTTTAATGAAGAGCTTAGACAGACGTGTTTGGACAGCTGCTACCTCTCAGGCTGTGCTGTAAATGTAGGGTCTGCGGAAGGGAAGGCGGCTTTGGCTGTCCTCAAGTAGCTCACAGCTAGGTGGGAAATCAGACCCTGTATCCACCTAGCTGCAGTGAATGAGTGGAATCCTATCTTACTGGTGGGGAAAGCGATGTTATGGCAGCAGGTGGGAGGAAATATTTTATCTATATACAGGTGGTCATAAAGTTCACATGGAATTTAAATAGTTAATTGTACACAAACTTTATGGCCAACCTGTATATAAAAAATAGAACATTCTGGGAGGGGAGGGTGTGGCAGAAAGCTTCACAGGGGAGACAGGGACAGAACTGGCCCACACTAGCTGGAAGGCTAAGGATTTTGCAGGGGCAAGAGGGGCCCTGGGAAAGAGGGGCAAGGAAAAGGTGGAAGGACGAGATGAGCCTCTGAAATGTCCTTCCATTAACCATCCCAAGTTCCTGGTTTCTTTCCCCATGCCTGCAGATTTCCTAAACATGCACTCCACTGGGGTCACCCTGTCTCAGATCACCTTGTTTTCTAAGGCAGTGAATCTCAGGCAAGTTTGGTCCACTAACCGGCAACTTCAGAATCACCTGGGCCCTGGGTAGAAACGTAAATGTGTGGCCCTTAACCTAGCCATACTGACTCTGGAACTCTTGGAATCTTATCTGATACAAATTCTGGTTGACAGCCACAGTTGGAACACACCCGGAGCTGCAGAGCTGAGGGGGCTGATGCCGAGTCTGACAACAATCTGGGTCACTCTCTGCTCAGGGACTCCCCTGAGGTTCCTGCCTTGACCGCTGTGTCAGTGGTTTGGACACGTCCTGCAGCCACCAGGGCCGGTCAGTCTTTTATTTCTCTCGGGCAATTTCTGCAAGGGTCGTGCACAGGGCCCAGGCCCAGCCTCACTTCCCCCAGCAAAGCCACAGACTGGCGTTTAAGTTAAGCAGCCGCGGGGCTGGCTTGGGGGTAACACTGGCCTCGTTAGTTATGCGGGCGAGTGATGCGGGCCGGCCTAGGTCCATTCAGCTGTGGGACAGAGGCCGCTCCCGCCCTAGAGGGGGAGCCTGGCGCGTCCCCAAGGACAGCGGGTCAGGTGACGGCGGCGGAGCATACTCAGCCGGCGACGCGGAAGGGCAGCGATCCCGCGGTCGAGCCAGCCTGCGGAAGGGACATGCGGGTCCCGGGGCTCCCCGCGCTGGCGCTGGCGCTGCTGCTGCTGTCGCCGCCGTGCCCCGCCCGGCGCGCCGAGCGCTATCCCCCCACCTGGATGTCGCTGGACGCCCGCCCGCTGCCCGAGTGGTTCGACCAGGCCAAGTTCGGCATCTTCATCCACTGGGGCGTGTTTTCCGTGCCCAGCTTCGGCAGCGAGTGGTTCTGGTGAGCGCGCGCCCCTCCGGCTCCTAGGACCCCCACCCCGGCGTCTGCAGCCGGAGCGCTCCCTTGTCGGTTTCTCTGTCCCGGCGCGGGTTTTAACCTCTTCTGGCACTTCCGGTGTTGGTTGTAAGGTGTCTTGTCTCAGGGGCGCGTTCAGGGTAAACTGAATTTTTCCGCCGTGTGACTGCAAGAGTTTTCAGACACACTATATATGGATCTGAATTCTCAGCTTCTTCCGAGAAGATTCTTCCCACATTTCTTGCGCATTTCAAGTGGTAATCACATTATAAGGTCGAGCAACTCGGGAAATTATTTTGCCTGGGGTCAGAGCGTGTGCAGCGACTCAGACCTAATGTCCCATCCTTGTTCTGCTGCGACCTGGCGATTTGCAGTCGTTCTGGGTGTTTGAATGGCAGAACCCCAGTACGGTGGAAGTTATGGGTGAGTGGGCGTCTGTTCATTTTGAACACATTTTGGCTCTTTAATGTTAAAATGTTGCCGTGGGACTCTAGGACCTTAAACAAAAAAAGATTCTAGAATGATACACTAAAGAAAGTCCGGTTTTCAAATTGTCATATTAGGGGGTGCTGTACCAAAAACTGAACTTTAGATCGGAGCTTGAGATCTATGTAAAATATACATGTAATCTCTTGAACTGTTATGCATATCTTTCTGATTAAATCCTTCAAGTATTTTTTTCAAGGTAGAAGTGTTATCAAATATATTCACCCGTATATGCACATGTACACATGTTGGGTTTCCAGGGGGCGGCCTGTCCCCCCAAATGTCAGCGTTTCAGGCGCCGCCTGTGTCCTTGCCTCTTGCAGTGCTCTTGAGGGAAAAACGAAGACACCCCACAGTAAGGCAAGAGTGAAACAAAATTTACTGTTGGAAGAGAAAGGTAGGTTTACAGAGTAACAGTTTACACAGAAGGATACGTTCACCAAACGGACCTCCTTTGCCAGAGCAAGTAGACAAAGAATCCCAGGGTGAGGGTGGGGTTCTCCTCTCTATTGCCCAGTTTAGGGTTTATCTTGTGATTTGGAGGTCACCTTGGAACTAGAGCATGTGGATTCCCATGAGCCTCTCTGAGAGTCCCTGGGGGAGTATGGGCCACGTGATATCGTCTTAAGGCTGTTCCAGATCACTTTCAAGATTCTGTTGCACCTGTTATTAGGCTAGAGCATCTTCTCTAGTCTTTTACAGTTGGCCTGATTAGCAGATTGGTAGGGTGTACCCTCTGCCCCAGCTGTGAGCAATCACTTGGGACTGCATAAAGGTGGGCGGCACCATGATGGCAGCATGGACTCTCAGCCCTGGTCCTCTTTTCCCAGGAGACCTGTTCCTAACTAACTACCTAACACACACATATATATTCTTAAGTAAAATAAAGCAATTAAATGAGTATTTATTTAAATCTACTTCATACTATTAAGTAGCATACATCCAAATTATGTATACCATATATAGTAGACACAATACAGAGTATGAACTATATATTATATTAACATTACGTAGTGTATACACAGTACCACTTTCTATTGTAAGAGCAGAAAAATTACTTCCATCCACTGAGAGTCCTGGTTGGATCCAAAAGTTAAATTGACACATTGGGGTTAAATGGTGTGGGTGGGCTTAAAGGATGAGTTATTCTAACAAGGCCTAGTGTACAGTATTCTTTTGATCTCTACTTTCTGTCCTTGAAAATAAAGATATTGTCTTTCCTTCTGGTACAGAGTGCCTTTTCACTCTCATGCTAGAATTTCATCATCTGACCCCCCCACACAAGAGGGACTCTGTTGCTTCAGGTAGAGTTCGATGGCATCATTAATCATCATAGCTCACAACCACCTCAAATTCCTGGGCTTAAATAATCCTCCTGCCTTAGCCTCCCAAGTAGCTGGGACTACAGGAGTGCACCACCATGCCTGACTAATTTGTTTCCATTTGGTGGGGGCTAGGGAAGTGGGTGAGGTTTGGTGTCTCACTCTGGCTCAGGCTTATCTCCAACTTCTGAGCTCAAGCAATCTGCCCACCTTGGCCTCCCAAAGTGGTAGGATCACAGGCATGAGTCACCACAGCTGGCCTCATCTTAAGAAATAGCACAAAAGTCAAAGTGCTTTTCTTAGACCTGCTAGATTGCAAGTGCTTTAACTTATAAAATAGACCAGAATAGCCTGTGTTAACTCCTTTATTACAAAGAGATTGACTTCCTCCAACCAGTAACCTCTCTTATTAAGTTAGGCCAGTTAATGTAAAAGAACAGTATAAGCTAAGGAGAATTTTTCGTATACTAAAAAAATCAACTTGTAAAACAAGGGGCTTCCTATGCCACGTATTACCAAACCTACTTTGGAAAGCTGTTATAAATATTTTATGTTTTGGGCCACATCAAATTGAATAAAAAGGGTCTTCTTCCTGTAGCAGGTACCTTGGTCACTGTGACCATTTGGACAGACTATGTTATGGCCCATTAATTCACTTCCAAGAAACACGGTAGGCAGTGTCCTTCCTGATGCACTTGAGCAAGTTTCACTGACTCAGGTTACTGGCGTTGTGCGAGGGCTTCACTGGTTTCCACCCACGCGGGTTTTATGTTTCTTGACTTTTTGTGTATCTCAAAAATTGGGAATCACCCAAACATATCTGTCTCACAAAGATGTTACAAAGCCTTATTTGTATGTTTTGGGCCGAGAGGCATTTTGAGTTTCTTTTTGAAATGTTTCAGATTAGTGAGCTACACAATGAACAGATTTTCTCCCCCTTAAATTGTATCTTATTTGATAGTATCATTTTGTTCAACCATGAGGATTAGATAAATGTACATCAGTGTGGAAAAAGAATCTGACATTTGTTAGCTGAGAGCAGAGTGCTCTGCTAAAACAAGCCAGCAGATTTGGGGTCATTTTACTCTTTGCTGTGATGAACTTCATTTTCTACAAATGAACACATGGGTGTTTGTTTTTACAGAGAACAATAAAGACACTTCTCATATTAAACAATATATGTGTAAAATACAAATGAGTCCTGATGGTCTAGAAGTGTGTTGACCCTGTTGAAGATCCTTAATGACCGATGGTCTCCCTGTGTCCCTTCTAAATCTCTGCTCCTCACCCACAGTTTGACTTTTGGGGAGTCAACAGCAAAGACCAGTATATCTGACTGTTCTTAATGGCAATTAAATGCCAAACACTATATAAACAACGAACTTTTTACTCTAAGTGCCTTTCTTCTTTCCATCTCTTTTAAAATGAATTTGTAGTCTATCCTCTGGGACAGCATGCAGGATCAAATTAGATACTAGAAGAAAACAGAAATTCCTTATCTTTGCTCAACTTTCTGGTTGTCCCAGTTTCTCTTTTGTGGTATAATTTATTTTTTAATTTCCAACTTCTTTTTACTTGCAGTGATTTTTTTTTTTTTTTTTTTTTTTTTTACGTTTCAGATCTATTTGAGGGTACAAATTGTGATGCAATTTAAAAAGTTAAAAACGCATCATGGATCAGTTAGGGTAGTTTCACTTTCGGATATCAAAAACCCCAAATAAAAGGAATAATAAGAGGGGCTTATTTTATCACATAGAAGAAAATTAGAGCTATTGTTTCATTGATGAAATCAATGACCCAGGCCTTTTCTGTCACCCTCAGCCTGTGGACTTGTCCCTTCATGAAACAACCCATCACGTGATGGAGGCCAAGCATCATAACCGAACATGATCTTGCCCAAAGGTAGCCAGGCCTCTTTTCATTGGGAAGGAAACCATTTCTGGAATCCCCCAAGTCAGGTTCTCTTCAAGTTCTACTGGCCAGCCACGACATGGCTATGATGGAACACTGAGAAAGTATGGGTGTGACTTTTGGGCCAGCAAACAACAGTGCCTGCCACCTATGTAGCCCACCCTTAGTGATGTCTTCTCCGCCAGAACAGCCTCCTGACTGATCATCGTGGGGATGTAATGCTGACTAGGGATGCGCTTATCCTGTAGAAACAGTCTTATGAAAGGACTGGTGGTTGAAAAAAACGGGAGGGTCTGTCATACGGTTTGGATATACTTCATGAGAATAGTTACTGTTGTGTTCATCTGACATGTTGTAGGCGTTGTTTTCTTTAGGAAGCCTTGCTTAAATAGTTTAGGTTCAATACACTATTGTGGAGGATGAATTCATATGACAAGTAATCCCAGCCAGGAGCGGTGGCTCATGCCTGTTATCCTAGCACTCTGGGAGGCCGAGGTGGGTGGATTGCCTAAGCTCACAGGGACTAGACCAGCCGGAGCCAGAGTGAGAGCCTGTCTCTAAAAATAGCAGAGTGTTGTGGCAGGTGCCTGTAGTCCCAGTTACTTGGAAGGCTGTGGCGAGAGAATCGCTTGAGCCCAAGCGTTTGAGGTTGCTGTGAGCTGTGACACCACGGCATTCTACTGGGGGCAACAAAGTGAGACTGTCTCAAAGAAAAAAAAAGTTAGCATCTTCCTTGTAGCTTCTCTTTTTGTGCCCTGCTCTAAAACTCGTTCTCTGCTAGACCACAGTTAGATGCAGGTTAGGTTTTATGCATATAGTCTCTGTCTAAAAAAAACAGTCGCACTTTTTCACCCTTAGTAGACTGCCATGGCGTCACAGCTCACACCAACTTCCAACTCTTGGGATCAAGCAGTTCTCTTGCCTCAGCCTCCCAAGTAGCTGGGGCTACAGGTGCTCACCACGATGCCTGGCTAGTTTTAGAGACCAGGTCTCACTCTAGCTCAGGCTGGTCTCGAATCTATGAGCTTGGGCAATCCACCCAGCTCGGCATCCCAGAGTTTTAGGATTATAGGCGTGAGCCACCTCATCTAGCCTAGGCATATAGTCTTAGCTTTTGGAGTCCCTGGACACGTATGTTATAAAGGACAAAACATTAAGACACAGCCTACATGTTGTGACTTACACGTGAAGAATTGAGGAAGAAGGGGTGGCCGGCTTGTCTAGAATGCTCTAGTTGATGAGCTAAGTGGCTTCCCTAGTGACAAAGATGGATATTGAGAGGGGAGTTCTGGTTTGCATCATCTTCTTTAAAGCCAGGTCTAACTAAGGAGGAGCTGAGAAAGGATCTGGGTAATACTGTGTTTGAACAAGGGGGAAAATGCCGAGGGACCTGGGCAATGATGTAAAATGGTGATGAGCTGGTGTTCCTGTGCTGTTCCCTTCCTCTCTGTAGGTGGTATTGGCAAAAGGAAAAGAGACCCGAGTATGTGGACTTTATGGCAAAAAATTACCCTCCTGCTTTTAAATATGAAGATTTTGGACCACTATTTACAGCAAAATTTTTTGATGCCAATCAGTGGGCAGATATTTTTCAGGCCTCTGGGGCCAAATACATCGTCTTAACTTCCAAACATCATGAAGGTGAGTAAATACAGTATATGAAGACACCAAAAATGTTAGGAAATAAAAACAACTTTTTTTTTTTCAAGAAGAAACTAAAGCAAGGGCATTCCTATGAAATCACAGTTTTCCCTTAGGAACCACTGTAATTGGTGGCTGATATTTGCTTATAATCTAAAGACCACCAAATTGAGAGATATTAGGGATACAGAAAGATGGTATTCTCCACATGACAGAGGAAAGATGGTGACATTTTATTCTGTGCCTGTTTAATAATATTTCTAAGATTTAATTAAAGATATTTGAAGGGGCATGTGGGTCGCACCATCAGAGTTTATAACTGAACTGCATTCTTTGGTTTCTCTTTGTAATGCATTCTGGGAGGGCACCCTGCGGGGTCATTTGTCGTTTCGCATCATTATCAACACACCTGACCGAGCTTTTGGCCAATTCTTGTTTGGTCAAAAGATGTACATGGTGGATGAATTGCTAATGATGACAGTGACACAGACCACTCGAAGGGAAAGGATAATGGCACCATAATGGTGTCCAGAAATATCAGAAGTGGTGGAAGAATATGTGAAAGGAAACACAGGGGCCCAGCATTAATGGGATGGATTCCACCACTGCCGCCTCGGTAGGTGTAAGACCAACAAATTGTTGTCCCAACTACACGTTGATTCATTACAGTTTCTTTGCATGGCCAGTCTTTGCCGTGGTGTAAGAAATTTGGCCTTGTTGTTTTCTCCAGGGAGGGGAGCACAGTAGGAGGGGGGACCAAAACCAAAACTCTAAATTTATCTGCGAATGCTTTCCCCTTTGACCACATTCTGGTGGCTTCACGATTGTCTGCTACAGGTGTTTCTCCTGCTGAGATGGAGATTTATAAAGTGTATCTGTTGGAGGCCATGTTGATTTCCTGATGTCTAGCAACTTCCCCAAGCTGTATGGCACAAGTATTACGTAGTGAATTTATTTAAAAAAAAAAAAAAAAAAGACCTGAAGTGTGAGGACAGATGATAGAGCTCATGTTCATTCGTTTTCTGGGTTTCGTGTGGTCCGATGTTTCCATTGCTTCTGGAAAATGCACTGCAAACCTCAGGAAGGACGATTGCTGTGCGCTTACGTATGGTGGTGATATTAAAATGAAGACCCATGTGGTTTTAGCACTGCCTGACATTAAGGCCTGTCAAGTTGGAAAATTTTGAATGTGACTTTAAATATTGACACTGCTTTGAAGCTTACCACAAACATCTTTGGCATAAGAGTGAGCTATTTTAAAAGCTTCTTAGAATCAATCTTAGTTTTGTCCTAATTTATAAGAGTAAAGTGTTTCAGCAAAACTCTCTTATGAAAATCTATTTTCTTTTTTTTTTTTTTTTTTTTTTTTGAGACAGAGCCTCAAGCTGTCCCCCTGGGTAGAGTGCTATGGCTTCACTGCTCACAGCAATCTCCAACTCCTGGGCTCAAGCGAGTCTCCTGCCTCAGCCTCCAAAGTAGCTGGGACCACAGGCGCCCGCCACAACGCCTGGCTATTTTTGGGTTGCAGCTGTCATTGTTGTTTGGCGGGCCCAGGATGGGGATTCAAACCCGCCACCTTAGGTGTATGCGGCTGGCGCCTTAGCCGCTTGAGCCACAGGCGCCGAGCCTGAAAATCTATTTTCAAAGCTTCTTTTAGATATTTGTGATCAGTATCAAAGCCCTTACGTCTCTAGGCACTGACTGAAATTTTTGAGACTTTTATATTATTTCTTGAGTATTTCAGTTTATAGATCTCTTCTAAGATGCTTCTATAGAACAATCAGCAATATAAATGCAAATTCTTGTTCAAAATGAATTATTTCAAAGTGTGTAATGGTGTACATTTCTTACCCATTTAGTTGGTAGATTATTCACTTTGGGTAATTTTATTTAAGAAGAAGAACATCTAAGCTTTTGACAACACTAGGATGAGATTATACATGATTAGCATATTTTAAAGTACAGAAATACAGGGTTATACATGGTTAGCATATTTTAAAGTACTGGGAAACACAGGGTTTCTCAGAGGTTGCCCCTAAAGTCACCATACATGGGGAAAATGGGAAATTGTTGCTAAATGTGCCTTTATTTACAAATATTCATTACAAACTTTACAAAATATTCTCTACATGTTGGCCAACTCTACATAAAATTTTGTAATGAATATTTTGTAAGTAAAGGCACATTTAGCTACAATTTTCCATTTTACCCATATATGGCAACTATAGGGACACTCTATAGTGTCTTTTAAAAAAATTATTTATTTATTTATTTATTTTAGAGACAGTCTCACTTTGTTGCCCTCCGTAGAGTGCCATGGCATCACAGCTCACAGCATCCTCCCACTCTTGGGCTCAGGTGATTCTCTTGCCTTAGCCTCCCAAGTAGCTGGGACTACACGTGCCTGCCACAATGCCCAGCTATTTTTTTGTTGCAGTTTGTCTGGGGCTGGGTTTGAACCCACTACCTTCAGGGTATATGGCCAGCGCCCTACTCACTTAGCCACATGTGCCACCCTTTGTAGTGTCTTTAAATGAATAATCAGGCTAAAGGAGATTCACTACACCTGAATCACCAGTGTTCTAAGAATCACGCTATAATAATATAGCCAATCCTAAAACCATGCCTCAGACTGCAGTCTTTGATTTAGAAGACAAACAAGAATAACACAGGAGCACATCTCTGGGTCTTCATCACGAATAGCAGTGGTCATTGCTTAGTTTGGTCAGTGTGGATGATGTTACCATTTCAGCTGTGATCTGGTATTGTTGACTGCTTGTTGTATATTATGCCCAGAGCTAGCAGCTTGCTGAGGACACAGCAGGGGGTTCCACAGACAGGGTGCTAGCCCTTAAGGACCTTAAAGTCTTAAGAGAGAAAGTACTGGAGATAGATAGATCAGACCATATAGAGCTTTGGCATTGCCTGAAAGTTGCTTTCATAAACCTCAGTCCCACTTTGTTAAAATTCTCTTTTGTATTCTTTGTGCCACAGAAGATATCTTCAGGGAATCAGTGGAGCAGAGATCACAAGATCATTTTAGCTGACGACAGGATAGGCAGAGGTCCTGAGCTCCTCTGGGGGAGTGGGTGGGATTAATCTGGGTGGAGGTCATGAGGCTGTTGTAGCTGAAGATGGGATTGCCCCCAAATGGGATGATGGGATTAGAACCCTTAAAAGTGCTGTGCTTCTGCACAGAAGAGGGAATTTCAGTTTGGACCATTGTCTGCCATTTCATTCTCCTCCAAAAAAGGAAAAAGATCTCATTTGTTTCTCATACAAAAGAATCTATATGAAAAAGATTGCCATAAATCAGGTGTTTGTAGAAGTGGTTTTATATACATCCCTTTGTATAGGTAGGAATTTACTAAAATAAAACTGATGTGCTTACAAGGGTATTTGCTATAATTTTTCAGGCTTTACCTTGTGGGGTTCAGAGTATTCCTGGAACTGGAATGCAGTCAGTGAAGGGCCGAAGAGGGATGTTGTCAAGGAACTTGAGGACGCCATCAGGAGCAAAACGGACCTGCGTTTCGGCCTGTACTATTCCCTTTTTGAGTGGTTCCATCCGCTCTTCCTTGAGGATCAATCCAGTTCATTCCAGAAGCAACAGTTTTCAATGTCTAAGACGTTGCCTGAGCTCTATGAGTTAGTGAACAAGTACCGGCCCGAGGTCCTGTGGGCCGATGGGGATGGAGATGCCCCCGACAGCTACTGGAACAGCACGGGCTTCCTGGCCTGGCTGTACAATGACAGGTGTGTGCACAGTCACATTGGGGCAGTTACCCCTAATGCCCCTAAGATATTTATAACGTCGTAACTCCCCTATTTCTTGGAATACTTCCTTTTAGGCTTACTGATGGTGTGATGGGGGAGGAAATCATTGTACACAACACTTATTAGATATTTCAATATTCACTCAAATAATCAAGAGTAAACAAATCACAGCTCAGTAAAATACAACTCAGTCTGATTTTGAAATCAGAGTAAAAAAAATCACAAGATCAAGAACTTTGATGTGTTAATTTTGTGGGTCCCCCTTTTATCTCCTACTCCTGTGTTTCTGGCCCCTGTCGGGGATCACTCTGTTTATTCATCATTACTTCTGAGTAGGTGTTTTTTAATCCCCTAGTTGGGGCTTTTTGCCGCCCACTTGTCCCTTCTCTTTGCTAATCGTGGCTGCCCCATGAACCTCACCCTCGTCTGTGCCTCTTTCCTTCAGCAGCAGCGCTGACCCTCCTCCCATTCTTTCTTGTTGCTCCCCAGCATGTCCCAGGCTCCCCGTTACAACTGTCAGTTCTGACTGGCTTCAGCTCCGGGGAGCACATTTCCATTTGTGCCAGAAGGCGCCTGGCATTGTGCTAGGAAGTTAGCCTACCTTCTCCTTGTGATTCCTGGGCCCGCACAGGGCACAATACAAATATTTGGGAGAACTCCTGAGACTTAAAATAGCAGTGTCTCCAGGTACTTCTTCCAAGGCACAAGATGGGGCATCATCCACTTCAATGTGTGAGTGAAAACTGTCCCCTGGCTAACCGTTCCACCTGCTATGATAAGTATTGTTGCGGGCGTGTTTCACGTAATGCCAATAGTGGATTTTTCTGAGATTTTTATCCCTCTTAAGCATAACCGTAAGAGAAAGAGAAGAGCTTGAACATATGTATAAAATTATTTAGTCAGTGGAAAGCCAAATGTCTTGAATGTCAGTTCAGCTGTGGCTACATTCACAATATCGGGGGGCCTCAAGTAATAGTTTAGTACTCTTATAAGTGCTGTTTGTGTTGGGAAGTGGGCTAAGTGTTTTATATAAATTATTATTGTTCTAATAGTAGATGAAGAAGTTCATTACAGAAAGGTTAGGTAACTAGCGCTAGGTCTGGGAGTCAGAATGTTACAGAGCCAGGACTCTAATCAACCCAGATGTATTTGTCTTCAGGCCCATGGGCTTCCCACTATGTTGTGCCATGGTCCCTTTTCAGGAGTATATTTCAGTTAGATTTCTTTTCAATGACATGTTATTTTATGTAAAAAACATATATATTTTTTTTTTGCTTAAAACAGTTATACTTTTCATTTCAGCCCAGTTCGGGACACCGTAGTCACCAATGATCGTTGGGGACTTGGTAGCATCTGTAAGCACGGAGGCTACTATACCTGCAGTGACCGGTATAACCCAGGACATCTTTTGCCACATAAATGGGAGAACTGCATGACAATAGACAAGTTTTCCTGGGGCTACAGGAGAGATGCCAGAATTGGTGACTATCTTACAATCGAAGAATTGGTGAAGGTACAGTCAAATTCTGGTGGTTATTATTGTAAAAATCTTAATTGTGTGGTTGTGTGGGAATTATTTCTTATAATTTATATAGCTCAGTAGCCTACAAACACAGGGTATTATTCTATCCTCTGTGCTTACTTGTCCAGAGACTGACTATACACACACTCATGGATTAAAGATGGAATTGTTTTATCTAAGAACTACATTATTCCTAATTTTTTAGCAACTTGTGGAAACAGTTTCCTGTGGAGGAAATCTTTTGATGAACATTGGGCCCACACTAGATGGCACCATTTCTCCAATTTTTGAGGAGCGATTAAGGCAAATGGGGACTTGGCTAAAAGTCAATGGAGAAGCTATTTATGACACCCAGACTTGGAAAGCCCAGAATGACACTGTCATCCCGTATGTGTGGTAAGTTACTCATGTTACCAAGTGCTATTGGACAGAGTAAGGCATTTAACATTTCTTAGAGACATAAAGAGACGCATAAGATAAAGAGAGAAATCGGGTGAATGCCTACCTATACAAAGCACTTCCCAAACTGTGAATTAGCAAGTCTTTGAACACTTATTTTTTATAAAATTGAACTGAAATCATCTCTAGCTATCTCCTACGAGTGATAAATTTTGGTGACATATCTCCTAATGGTGACAAATTTTACCTAAAAGTAGTCCGCTCTTAATGAAAATCATAAGCCATTTAGACCTGGGGGAAAATGCCTAATCAATGGTTACTTTAAAACAGACACTACCGTTCCAGTCAGCTCTGTAAATTCCAACTTTTGTAGATGTCGCATTTCATCAAATTAGCAGGCGAGAGGTACCCAAGGGCAGAGACAATACTAGATTAAAAATGGGCCAAAATAAAGAGGATTCTGGGAAGATGTTGAAATACAAAGTACCAGGAATCTGTCTCCCCACTTAGACAATAATTGTACTGGTAAAATTTGTTGGATGGCCGATAAGCACAAGAAAGATACTCAACTCATCATTAGAGAAATGCAAATCCAAACGATGAGATACCATTTCATGTCCATTAGCACAGATGCTACAAAACCCAGAAAATAACAAGTGTTGCTGAGGATATGGAGCATTGGCGTCCATATGCACTGTTAGTGGGAAAACAGTGTGGCAAAAATTAAACACAGAACTGTTGTATGATCCAGCAAAGCCTCCAAGAGAGACTTGTTCACTCTGTTCACAGCAGCATCATTCACAGTAGCTGACATATAGAAGCAACCCATTGACAGATGGATGGATAAATGTGGACTATCCAGACAATGGAATGTTATTCAGCCTTGAAAAGGAAAGACATTCTGGCACATGCTACAAGCTGGATGCCCATTATGCCAACGGAAATAAGCCAGTCGCAAAAAGACAAATACTATGTGATTTCACTTACATGAGGTACTTAGAATAGTCAAAACCAAAGAGACAGAAAGTAGAAGGGTGGTTGCCAGGGGCTGGGGGAAAGGAGGAAAGAGGGAGTCACTATTTAATGGATGCGGAATTTTAGCTGCATGAGCTGGAGAGTTGTGGAGCTGGGCGGTGGTCACGGTGGCAGGGTATCATGAGGGTATTTTATAGCACTGAACTGCATACTTAATTTTATATGTATGAAAGTAAATGTAAAAATGAGAAAAATTGGCCCCAGATTATGGCATTGTTTTAATTTATTTAAAAACTTGTAACTTGTTAATATTATTCTGATAAATTTAAACTTGAAGTGTCTTTGAGATGCATAATGCCAACTTACTCATTTGTCTTTCAACTAATATCTTCTTTAAAAGTCCTGCCTCAAGCCTCTCTCTGAGCTTGGGTAGGTTCTGTGTCCTAATGCGTATCTGAATCAGACTTTGTAAACGTGACAGTTTCTGATGTAGGGACTTAACATATATATAAGAGTAGTTATTAGTAAAGCTCTAAAAATCCACCTTCTGTCAACACTTCAGTGTTGCCTGATCAAACGTAAACCAAATGATTAGACTCAATATTCTTCAGTCTACTTCCTTTATGACTTTAAACAAATTGTCCATCCATTGAAGAAATGAAGTAAGGCAATCTGGACAGAAGCAAATAATTGTGGAATTTTAGGATGTTGGATCTGGGAGAAGCATCATGAGAACTCAGTATCAGTCTCCCAGGTTACAGAGGATAGGTGAAGTATGAACTTGGAATTTGCTGCTGTACTTGTATTTGAACACAAGGGTGTCCGATCTGAGACTTCACAACCATTAACCATTGTCCTATTAAGTGTTTATTTTGATAAATATAAAAGCCAAAATATTAAACATGGTTGATATAGGCAGGAGTCTGGCTCCTGTCAGCTTCCGTGGCCCGAGTGGCCGTGTTCTCCCGCCCCACTCCAGGGGCTCCCGGCCCTCAGGTTCATCGCGTGTACCCACACTCCTTCTTGAGGTCCTCTGCAGATTCCCTGGAAAGCCTTCAAGAGGTTAGCCTTGGCTTCCTATCCTGAGAACCACTCTTAACCTGGTTCTTAGTGATTTTATTATGTATATTCATAGTTCTTCTAATTCACTGTACCCTTCTCTTGCAGGGATCTTGCCACTGTACCTTCATTACCCCTTCCTTTGGTCAGACCCGTTAGGCCTCGCACTACCAATCCCTGCACCCCTGCCATCACTTCAGTTTGAAGCATCTGATAGTCAGCTCACTCCACAAAGCACTTCAGCCGCAAAAGGGCTCTATAATTCAATGATCCCACCACTTTTAACCCTGTCGCCTTTTTCTGTCCTCCTCCTCTCCTTCCAGGTCAGGTTCCTGGCCCGCCCCTCACGTACACCCTCAACTTACTAGCCCTCTCTCCCTTTGTCATACTCACTCGGCAAAGCATCGGCTTTCGTTAAATTCACCTCTACTTATTCAAGCTTGCCCCAGACAGATAAATGTCAGAAACACACCCCCATACCCCCCCCCACAGACATAAGTACATATGTACATACTCAATATAACATTATCTCATTCTTAGCTTTAAGGCCTACCCTTGTGTCCTGGATCCCCTCTCAAACCTTTCACCCAAGAATGTTACAGCAATCCCTCCCTTTTGCTTCTCATCTTCAGTTTCTCCCTCTTTATTAGATCCTTTCTCATCAGCATTTAAACATGTGATTTCTTTCATCTTAAAAAAGTATTCTTGGCTCAGTGGTTAGGGTGCCAGCTACATGCACAGGGGGCTGGTGGGTTCAAACCCAGCCTGGGTCTGCTAAACAAACAAACAACAACAACAACAACAAAATAACTGGGCTTTGTGGTGAGTGTCTGTAGTTCCAGCTACTTGAGAGACTGAGGCAAGAGAATCACTTGAGCCCAAGAGTTTGAGGTTGCTTGAGCTGTGACAATGGCACTCTACCGAGGGTGACATAGTGAGACTGTCTCAAAAAACCCAAAATAATAATACTCTTTTTCGTAAGGGGATGGGTTGCATCCCACTCTGTCACCTGCTAGTATGGAATGGCATCATCATAGCTCACTGTAACCTCAAACTCCTGGGCTTAAGCAATCCTCCTGCCTCAGCCTCCCAAGTGGCTGGGTATTACAAGTGTGTGCCATTATGCCCGGTTAATTTTCTTTTATTTGTTTTGTAGAGATGAGGGTCTTTCTATGTTGCTCAGGCTATCTTGAATTCACAGCCTCAAATGATCCTCCTGCCTGGTTCTCCCAGAGTTCTGGGATTTACTGACATCAGCCAGTGCGCTCAGCCTGAAAGTGCTCTTTTGACCTTAATTATACTCCCACCCACCTTCCCATTTCTCTCCTTTCCCTGATAGTAAAACATCTTGAAAGAATTGTTTTTACTTGCCATCTCCAATTTCTTGCTGCCATTTTTCTCCTAACCCTTCCTCCCGATGGGCTTCTGCCCCTACACTCCACAAAGTTCCTGTGGCCACGGCTCGCAGAGATGTCCTTTGCTAAATCCGGGCCTTAGTTCCCAGTTCTCCTCTTCGGAACTCTCTGGCAGCATTTGACTCTGTTGATCACTGTCTCTCCTGGCTTTACTGTACCTGGTTGCTGTTCCTTCTTAGTCTCTTTTGCTGATTCTACTCATTTCCCAAACTCCAGATCTGGGGCTGAGTCCTTAGACTTCTCTATTCTTAAATTTACTTTTGACACAGTGCAGTGGTGTTAGCCCAGCTCACAATAACCTCAAATTCCTGGGTTCAAGTCATCCTCCAGCTTCAGCCTCCTGAATGGCTGGGGCTACAGGTGCCCACCATCACACCTGGTGAATTTTTCTATTTTTAGTAGAGACAGGGTGGAGTCCTATTCCTCCTCAGGGTGATCTCCAATTCCTGACTTCCAAGGATCCTCCTGGCGGGGCTTCCCAGAGTGCTGTGGAATTACAGGTGTGAGCCTTCTCTATTTATCTTAATTCCCCAGGTTATTTCTTCCATTTTCACAGCTCTGAAGCCACATTGATGACCTCCTTCCAAACTCCCTCCTTGACGTTTCCACCTGTGTGCGGAAGACCTGACTGTAAACTAGCCCCACACCTGGTCTTCCCATCTCAGCTAAGGGCTGTCAGGGCAAAAGCCCTGGAGCCCTTAACTTCCCTTTTGTTTACGTCCACAGCCAATCCAGGAGAGCAGATGCCATCAGCTTTGTCTTTGAAGTCCATCCAGAGTCTGACCACCTCCCGTCCTCACTCCGGCAACCCTCAATCTCCTGGTTTCCCCTGTGTCACACCTGCCTGGATTAGTTCAGTCACTGCTTGACTGCTCTCTGTTTCTTCCCGCCCCTTTGATCCCTTCGCCACAAAGCAATCAGAGTAAACTTATAAAAAGTCACATTAGGCCACGCCCATGCTCTAACTCCTCTGATGGCTTCTAGTCAGAGAAAGGGCCAGAGGAGGCCTCATTTAATCTGGCCCTTTATCTGAGCCTCTGATCTAATCTGCTGTCTCCTCTCCTTCCCTCTCTGTTCTTCAGCCGCTCTGCCTGCCTGCACGGGGCTCCTGCCCTTGCTGTCCCCCTCCCTGGAAGGCTTTCTCCGTTGCCCTCCCCCCACCCAATGCCAGCTCTTCTCATTCTTCAGGTTTCCTCAGTGCCTTAGTGAAATCTTTAAAATGCTAGTCATTGTTTAAAAACTAGAATCTCAAGAATGGAAGAAAAAGTACCCAATGTACACAGCCCTACTATGGAACTAATTTATAGCTTTCATAGGAAAGCTATGACCCAATTATAGCCCAAAATATGGGGAAAGGGGAGAGGGAGCAGGGAGTGGGGGGAAGGTGGAGGGAGGGAGGGTGATTGGTGGGATCACGCCTTTGGTTCATCTTATAAGGGTACATGTGAATCCTTCTAAATGTAGAACATAAATGTCTTAACACAATAACTAAGAAAATGACAGGAAGGCTCTGTCAACCAGTTCGATGAAAATATTTCAAATTGTATATAAAAACAGCACACTGTACCCCATGACTGTATCAATGTACACAGCTATGATTTAATTAAAAAAAAAAACACAAAACAAAACTAGAGACACAGCATTGAACCAAGACAGGAAATACCTGTTGACTAACTGAATGGATAAACGAATCCTGTTTTCTTGGTGGTGCACACTCCTCTTACCTTTTCCTTTGTTCTCATTCATCCTTTGCGTCTCAGATGCAATGTGGTTTATTTGGAGAGGCTTCTGATGCTAATCTAAAGAGATCCTATTGTTCTATCTCTCAATTTCCCTTTCTTTCACAGTGCTTATCAAAAATCACACTTTCATATTATTTGGATGATTCTTTAAGGTTGAGCCTTGCCACTAGCTAAGCGCCTTAAGAGCAAGAACGATGTGTTTTGTTTTCTGGGTGTCCCTAGCCCTGAGCACAGTACCAGACACAGTGTTGACACATGCGCGTCTTATCCTGTTGGGTTACCACGTATAAAAACCTGGCTCAGCCCACGGACGGCCAAAAGCTCCGGCATGGCACCCCTTTCACTCCCCCTCTCCGGTTGCCAGCCCTGTGAGAGCATCTGATGAACAGGGGCTACTGGCCCAGGAATGTCTTTATCTCCTGTTGGTGTTGGGGGAGTGGAGGCGGGAGGAGCTATTTTTCCTCCCCTTCTATTAAGGGGAACATTGTAAATATTTACTACACAGAAGTATCTCTGTAAAATAATTGCAGACCTGACCCATAGTAATGAGAAACGTGAGGTGACTACGCTTTTTAATTTTTTGTCTTTTAACAAGGTACACATCCAAACCTAAAGAAAACCGGGTCTATGCCATTTTCCTTAAATGGCCCACATCAGGAAAGCTGATTCTTGGCGAGCCCAAAGCTAATCTGATGGCAACAGAGGTAAGAAGGAATTTTACCTTCTTTATTCCTTGAGACTGCTGACTTAAGTATCCTGATGAAAAACATAACTTCTTAGCATTCAGGGGGAAGCCTTTTTTGTGTTCTTCATATACCTCATAAGAGCAAGTTTTAAAATGAGCTCCATCAATGGTAATGTTTGGCCAAAAGCTTTGAAACTTTTTCTTTCCCAGAAAACTAAACTGATAAAACATCATCTCTGTGCATTGCACTATAAAATGAACATTATTCTTCACAATCATTTTATGTTGTTCAAGTTCACTGCATGCATCCAAAATTAGCCTTTTCATAAAGCTGGAATTCAGATGCTTTCTCTGACACCTTACCACAGAGCGCATCTGGACAAAAGTAAGAGGTCATGACCCTACATTTGAAGTTTAGGAAACATTCTGGAGAAAGCTAAAGATCAGTTTAAATGTTGTAACCACCAGGTCTGACCTTTAAGAAATTGATCCAGGGCGGTGCCTGTGGCTCAGTGGGTAGGGCACCAGCCCCACACACCAAGGGTGGTGGGTTCAAACCTGGCCCTGGCCAAACAGCAACAAAAAATAGCTGGACACTGCAGTGGGTGCCTGTAGTCCCAGCTGCTTGGGTGGCTGAGGCAAGATAATTGCCTAAGCCCAGGGGTTGGAGGTTGCTGTGAGCTGTGATGCCACGACACTCTACCAAGGGTGATAAAGTGAGGCTCTGTTTCTAAAAAAAAAGAAAGAAAAAAATTGGTCCCTTTGGAGGTGAATTGTCCAGATGGTTTTCTTTGCATTGCCTTTCTGCATTTTATTTCCAACACTTGTAGTTTGTCAGGAAGAAAGAAGATAGAGCTCAAATCTAATGTTTAATTATAGCATAGTAGCTGGGTATAAAATTGATTCGTTTCAAATTTTATTTTATATTCTTCTTGATGCTAATGGATATAATTCAAAAGTTCATGGTTGTTTTTTCTTTTTTTTTTTTCCATTGGATTTTCTGGACAATTAAAGCTCATGGGTTTTGAATCTGATAAGCAAAGTTTTATAGTTCAAAATAACCTTAGAATATGTAGAGAACTACTTATTTGAATTAACTTAGTATCATCATTAAGACGAAGGATATAAAATAAAGAGTAACCGTCAAATGTAAAGATCAAATTTATGTATTAGGATGAGTGGAGGTTATGGGAAAAGCTGGGGAGTAGCAGTGGCTGGATGAGAGGGGAACCTTCTGCAGATATTCTGTGTAAGTGCTGGGGAGATTGGTTCCAGAATCATTTTCTCTTCAGCATTTTCTCCACTCTGACACATCATTCTACCTGTATAATTCATTTTTTGAAAAATGTTTTAACTCTCCAGCTTTATTATCATTCTTATTATTGAGGCAGAGTCTCACTCTGTCACCCTGGGTAGACTGCTGTGGCATCATCACAGCTCACAGCAACCTCAAACTTTGGGCTCAAGTGATCTTCCTGCCTCAGCCTCCCAAATAGCTGGGACTACAGGCACCCAACGTGATGCCCAGTTAATTTATATATATTATATAAAAATTATATATATATATATTTTTAAGTAGAGATGGAATCTTGATCTTGCTCAGGCTGGTCTTGAACTTCTGAGCTCAAGCAGTCCACTGCCTCAGCCTACCAGAGTGTTAGGATTATGGCGCCAACCACCGCTCCTGGCTTACCTTTACCATTAGTTCTTCTACAACCCTGCACATTTTCATTTCCCTCTTGAGAGTAACTTGGAAGCAAGAGTGTAGAAGCAATGGAGATGTATTGACTCAAGTGGATTAAGAGTTAAAACGCTTTGTGAATCACTAAATAAAGGTAAAAAATGAATGTCCTATCTGTAGTGTTTTTTTTTTTTTTTTCTTTTTAGAAATATCAGTCACTCCAGTAGGAAGTGAGTGAGTCAAAGAGATGCATTTGGAGATGTTTCTATGTCTGTTTTTAATTTCAGGTAAAACTGCTGGGCCACGGACGGCCACTTCACTGGGTGTCTTGGGCGTCCAGTGGCATCATAGTAGAACTGCCAAAGCTAACCTTTGATCAGCTGCCCTGCAGTTGGGGCTGGACTCTGGCATTAACCAACGTGACCTGAAGCGCGGCAGAGTGGCCGATGCTGCGGTTCCGTCCTCAGCGAGGCCAGGCCGGCTTTAGAAAGCCATGAGCAGCTGAACAAGAAGAATCCAGTCATTACTGAGCCAGCTCAGCCCTTCCTCTTCCTATTTCCCCCTGCATTATCCATGTGACCATTATTTTAACTTTCCAGTGGCTCGTCCATTAAAGTCCCTTCACCTTGATTGATTTTGTTTCCGTGTGACTCAGAAGTGGAAGCTTTTTTTTTTTTTAGAGTAGGCAGGGGCGTTAGGAACTGTAAGTTACCCCTCATAATGTTATGTTGAAGTCCTAACCTTCAGTGTGACCGTACGGTGGTGCGTCATTTGAAAACGGGGATGCGTTCTGAGAGAAGCTCCGCTGTGCGAACGTCACCGAGCACACTTAGGGCACCCCGGAAGGCACAGCCTCCTGCACCCCCAGCCTGCAATCTGTACAGCACCTGCTGCCCTGAACACTGGAGACAACAGAAACACCGCATTAGCTATTTGTAGGCCTAAACACAGAGAATGTACAGTGAAAAGAGGGTATAAACTATAAAAAAAGGATACATTTGTTTGGGGCTTGCCTGGAGCTCGCGGGACGGGAAGCTGGGCGCGCAGAGTGAGTGTGCGTGAATGTGACGGTCTTGGATGTCGCTGCGCACCGCTGCAGACTTTATACGCTGCCCACGGAGGCTACACTACATTTACAGGACAATTTTTTTACTCTGCACAATTATATTTGCTAGACTTTTACATGACTGGCGGCACAGTTCGTTGATCAGCACCAGCATCGCCACGATCAGGAGGGCTATGCTGTATGACACATGGCTGTGAGATCTAGGTGACAGGAACTTCTCAGCTCCATTATCATTGTATGGGGTCACCATCCTGTATGTAGTACATCACTGTATTTGGAAGTAGGGCCTTTAAAGAGGCAAATGAGGTCAGAGAGTGGTGCCCTAATCTAGTAGGACTGATGTTCTCATAAGCTGGAGAGGAGGCAGCAGGGATATAAGAACCAGGAGGAGAGACCACGTAGGACACAATGACATGGCACCATCTGCAAGTCAAGGGCAAGATCTCTGAAGAAACCAAATCTGCCAACACCTTGATCTTGGACTTTCAGCCTCCTGAACTTTGAGAAATAAATTTCTGCTATTAAAGCTACCCAGGTTGTGTCTTTTTTTTTTTTTTTTTTTTTGTTAATATGTTGTGGCACATTCATATAGGTGGTATTATAATAAACTTGGCCTAATATATATTTCAATGTTTCTACTAATTGTCTTTTTATTTAAAAAAAAAAGGGTCTATTCCCCCAATTATAAAACTGATACATGTACACTGTAGATATTTTGAAACATACAGAAATGCGCAAATATAAAATCATTGTTTGGCAGACCACCCATAGCTCAGTGGTTAGGGCACCAGCCACATGCTCCAGGGCTGGTGAGTTTGAACCCAGCCTGGGTCTGCTAAACAACAAAAAATAGCCAGGCGTTGTGGTGGGTGCCTGTAGTACCAGTCAGTAGGGAGGCTGAGGCAAGAGAATCACTTGAGCCCAAGAGTTTGAGGTTGCTGTGAGCTGTGATGCCATAGCACTCTACCAAGGGTGACAAAGTGAGACTTTGTATCAAAAAATAAATAAATAAATAGGCGGTGCCTGTAGCTTAGTGGGTAGGGCACCAGCCACATACACCGAGGCTGGTAGGTTCGAACCCAGCCTGGGCCAGCTAAACAACAACAACAACTGCAACAAAAAAATAGCCGAGCATTGTGGTAGGTGCCTGTAGTCCCAGTTACTTGGGAGGCTGAGGCAAGAGAATTGCTTAAGCTCAGGACTTGGAAGTTGCTGTGAGCTGTGACGCCGTAGCACTCTACCGAGAGCAACATAGTAAGACTCTGTCTCAAAAAAAAAAAAATCATTGTTTGGATCACCACTATTAATATTTTACTACATATTCTTCCAAATTTCTTTCTTTGTTTTTGGGTGAAAGAAGGTATGGAATCAGAGGTATGGATCTATTTTTGTAGATGGGCTAATTTGAGGTATAATGTAAATTCATAAATTAACTTATTGGCCACCACACCTTGCCAACAATCCAATTTTTGAAATTATGCCTAAGTATTTACATGGACAAATAATAGTCCTAAATCCCAATGAACATGTTACCAGAGATGTAATGTGTGGAGATTTACATGATCCCAATACTAGACTAAGAAAAAAAAGGAAACAAAATCTGAGCCAGTGTTACAGGAATTTTAACCCAGAAGTAGGATCATCTATTTGTTTAAAGAAGTATTTTTAAAACAAAACCTGTCAACCTCTTAAATTCTATTGTTACCTTTTAAAATTGAGAATAAAGGAGAAAGATGGAAATATCTGAGCAAATTGTAGTTAGATACAGGATTCGGTCAATGAGCTATCAGGGAGCTAAAGGACAAAATACAGCTCAGCATTAAGATATGATCTGGTCCATAACCAGGCGCTATATAAGAAAAAGTGCGAGATCCCAAGTTGAAGTCTATTTTAGCTGTATCTTGTTTACATGTGAAACACACTACAACCTGGTCTCCACAAGGATTTCAAAACACTCCAGCAAATTCATAAAATTATCTGGTACGGAGGGCAAGAATTATGTGAGGATAACTAAAAATCAGGCCTCATTATTTTTTTCAGACAGTAATTTTTATCCGGCAACCAATTAATCTTTTTTCTAGAGTTACCAGTAGGTACAAAATTGCCTTATTTGAATTAAGTTTTGATTTACCTTTAATGACAGAAATAGTAAAGGTGAGCCAAACTAGATTCTTAGATTAAATAATCTAGACATCGATGTTTAAATAAAGATTATCACTTTGATACAATTTTATATTCATTAAATATCCTTTTTATTTTATTTTGTTATAGTTTTTGGCTGGGGCTGGGTTTGAACGCACCACCTCCAGTACATGGGGCCAGTGCCCCTACTCCTTTTAAAATATGGACATCGCTTTAATAAAATTGTATCTCATTTTCTTATGAGTGCCACACTGAAGCAATGTAATTGCTCTAAAAGGTCAGTCTCTTCAAATAAAGATAAATTAGGACAACAGAGAACATGGCAGATGTTTTGCCTTCTGTTCATTTTTGAAAGTAAAAGACCTGGTTGGATACTTTTCCTGCTTAATTTCCAAACAAAATATTCATACCCATTTTCACATATATGTAGTAACAAACACATTTATACGAGTTTAAAAGAGAACAATGTAGAAATAGCTTTAAGTAATCTCTCGTTAACCAACTCACTGGATTGATTACCTGAAGCTCTCCACTCCCTTGGAAAAGCACCCCGACTAGCGTTGGGGACAAACTGCAGACCGTCAAGGAACAGCCACCCCCTGCCCTTCCATTCCCACTTGCTCCCAAGTACGTTACCAAAGGCTATTTGAGTTTGTGACTGCAGTGGGTTGAATAGTGTTCCCCAACAATATTTATGTCCCCCTGGAACCTCAGAATGTATTCTCCCATGGAAATATGGTCTCTGGAGATATAATTAAGTACTCAGATAAGTTCATATTGGATATGAGTGGGTCCTGAATCCAATGAAAGTATCCTTATAAGGGTGACAAAGTGAGACTCTCTCAAAAGAAAAAGAGACAGAAAGGGACATAGAGACACACAGAGAAGACAGTGAGGCCAAGATTAAAGTTATTCTGCCATAAGCCAAGAAATGCCTGGGGCCCCCAGAAACTGGAAGAGACAAGGGAAGAGTGGAAGGGTCTTCCCTAGAGCCTTCGGAGGGACCGTGGCCGTGCTGCTTGCACCTTGAGCAGCAAGGTGAGCAGCACCTTGCACGGCAGCACCTGGACTTCTACCTTCTACCTGTGAGAAATAAGCTTCTGCTGTTCTAAACCACCCAGTGGGTGATCTCTTATAGCAGCTCTAGGAAAATAACACAGTTACAAACAATTGATTATGCCAGTTGAATTCCTTATGGCGACTACACGTGCCAATGACACGAGTGTGACGACTCCTAGTTTCTATGAATGCCAAACTGAATGCTTTGGAAAGACTAGATAAAAGTAAATTCCCTTTAAATAGTAAAAATTTACAAGAAATTCTACACTTCTAGTTCACACCTATGTAACGCAATGCATGTGATTTGTACAAGAAAGATAATTGGGAAACACCTACCAGGGGACCTATGCTGGAAGGCAGCTGTGCTGACCACAGCTACACATCCCAGCTCAGCAAGTCTATTGTGAACAGTTAGAAAAAACCCGGGTCCTACAACAAATAATTGGCAAATACAGAATATTTACATTTTAAGTTACAAGGTCTAAGAATATGTGTGTATACATGTATATATATACGTGTATATATATATACACATTAAATATATATATATTTTATGTGTATATATACGTGTATATATATACGTGTAAATATATATATATATATTTTTCCCACAATACCCTGCTTTAAATGACTCTTTGGATTAACCAAACAACTACGAGTTTCAGATGGGAGGGCCCTTGCTGTACTATTAGAAGGCAAATTTTGTTCCTTATAAGGCCAGTTAACTTTAAATACATGAGGTTTTTATCTTATCTCCTCAACTGCCACAGCTCTACAGGTGCAGAGGATTTTAGGTGATGATTTTAAGCTAATCCGGGTTTAATATTGCTGGAAGAGATGCATGTCCATTACACACACATTCTCTAATTTTTCAGAAATACAATTTTTCCTTCACTCTACTATTAATGACAATATCATTATGTTCTGTCTTTTTTTTTTTTAGAGACAGTCTTACTTTGTTGCCCTTGGTATAGTGCTGTGGCGTCACAGCTCACCGCAACCTCCAGCTCTTGGTCTTAGGCGATTCTCTTGCCTCAGCCTCCAGAGTAGCTGGGACTACAGGTACCCACCACAATGCCCAGCTGCTATTTTTTGTTGTTGTTGCAGTTTGGATGGGGCTGGGTTCAAACCTGCCACCATCAGTATATGGGGCCGGTGCCCTACCCACTGAACCACAGGCGCCACCCCGTTCTGTCATATTTTGAAAAGTGGCAATTGTCCTCTCTACTTTTACCTGTTTTTTTGTTTTGCTTTGTTTTGTTTTGAAATTCTAGGCTTCAAACCTAGCCAGGCCTTAGAAGAGAATACACAATTTATTTTCTATCTTCTACTATGCAGTTACATGTTATGTCAGAAGAACATAAAATGATATTACTGAAAAAAATGTATCTAATTTACTGATACCCAATGATTCATTTATTTGTGCCCTAATTACTCTTCCAAATGCAGAACTGTGGATTTAAAACTAGAGACAATGAATTATTTCTTTTTTAGAAGGCAATGTTATTTATTTTTTTCTAAATGAACAAGTTAAAAGAAAGCACCAAGTATACTGCTAGTTAAAATGAAACTTATGTTATGGGACAAATAAATTAATGGCTGAAAAATATAAAATCAACAAAACCATATTTTACTAAAATAGTTTATTGCAATAAGATATTCACTGTACTCAAAATCAATACAAAGTAAGTTATTAAAATTATTTACATACAAATGAATAAAACTATATAATTAATAACAGCTGTGAGTAAACGTTTTGCCTTGGCGTCCAACCCACGGCCCATGGCCGCATGCAGATTATGTGAGGACTTTTTTGCTTATCTGTGGTGGTGTATATCATGAAAATAATGCACAGACCTCTTTTTTTGGCTCATCAGCTTTTGTTAGTGTTTGTGTATTTAATATGTGACCCAAGATGATAATTCTTCTCCCAATGTGGTACAGAGAAGCCAAAAGGTTGGACACACCTGCACGCAGGTTTAAATAAACGCGTAACTTTCTAAGGCTTATTAATAAAACCTGCGAAAATATAGCAAAAAAATAGCAAAGAAAAAAAATAGCTGATGGTAGCTGTTAAAATCCACTGATTTCTGTAAGAAGAAAAGTCCTCCATCAAGGTGTATTTGAGATGATTAATTTATTCCTTTGCAGGGTAGCTGGAGAAAAGTCTGATTCACTTTGTTTAACTGCAGTCCAGAGAACATTATTAGTTAAATAGCTTATTTTCCAAACTTCATACATCCTACACCTACCTCCCCAACAGATTTTTCCTCAGTATTAATATCAAAGTGCACTGCATTTCATATTATATAAATTAAAAAGTAT